GTGTAGATCTTTCCTACCAGAAGATCTGGGGTGTGGCAGAAAGACAGCAGTAAAAAGGCTGCAGAAAGAGTCAGGAGCCCAGAGGAGGGGGCAAAGGAGATGAGGGGGTGGGGGCAGAAAGTGAAAATGAAAGCAGACAACAGAACATTGCTAGAGAGCAGGAAAGGAGGTGAAAGGAGACAACTTTAGAGAAGAAAAACGATATCACCAAGGAATACATTTTTTCAGCACCAAAGACAGCAAATATATTATATTTTTTTAAATTATGTTTTGGTTTCATTCCTTCTTTTGACGAGATACAGTCTTTAAAAAACAATTGAACGCTGTAGTGCTATGTCACCAATCTGACACCGCATGACTCAGTGTCATCAGCTCAGATGTTTAATTTTCTTCGTCCTATTTCTTCTAACGTACCCCCCCCCACCCCCTCCCGCCTGTACGCACACCTTTAAACAATAATGTTAAAAAATAAATAAGTCATAACACCAGACTTGGTTGTGTTGAAAGGAATCATGTCTAAATTCGTCGCTGACAGGGTGACATTGTTTGTAGAATAAAGAATTTCTAAACGGGAAAACATGATTGGCATACTGTGTGCGGATGAGTTGATATGAGTTGATATGTTTATGAATGCCATGTCGCGCCTGTCTGTAGCTAGAAAGCGGAAAGAATCTGTCATAGAACGGAGCCGCTTTTGTCAGAGCTTAGTTATGCAGAGGACAAGAAATAAGCACAACATTGAACCTGCTGTTTGTATACACGGACCTGCCTTTGTATGTTCAAAACGTATCAAACTTCTCTCTGCCAGAATTGGTCTCATCGGCCAATGTAAAAGCCACAAGTTATCTTAACTTTTAATTCTTCTGACTCTTCTATTTCGCAGGAGAAATATTCTCTCTGCGGATGTATTGGTCATTGCAAAATTGATGGACGGGCTATTAATTCGTGCCTTTGTATATTTTGCATGTAGGCATTTTTTATTACAGGCATCTGTGGTGTAGCAGCGGTTAAACACTACATCGTGGCACGCAAGAGACTGGAGTTCGATTTCCGAGCAGAGAGAATTTTTATCAAGTAAGCTACATGTACAGTGTATGTACACATGTTCATCGGTCTTTCTGTCTGAATGTTGTACCCCTCTCAGCCCGGGTTGGGTCTTAATGTAGGCAGGGTCAAAGCCGCCCTATAATTACATGTATACAGTAATATGATAATACTAGTATTGATGGGAGCGTTAAGACAATTACAATTTTTTAAAAATTATATTTGTTTTACTT